GGAGACTGTTTGTAAATGCTATTATGAGCAAGATAATAATTGGTAACTCTTTCTTCTGCTCCTAGTTCTCATTATTAGTCATGTATTTTTCTTTGGCATGTTGCCTGTCTTCTCATTACTAGAATGGTGTCGATGGTCTGTGAAATGGTATAATGTTGTGTAATGTTACAGGCACCAATTGTTTTTATTATCTTGACATGCATAATTGCTTATTGTTTAGTGGTTTTCAAAAGATGTGGAATATGTCACAAAGTATATTATTAGTTTCAGAATTTTCTTGGGCTGACATTGCTTGGCTTTACTGCACAACTGCTGCTTGGCATCCTAATAACACAACCCTGTGTACATCATGTGAGCTTAATCAGCCTCGTGTAGTTGCTCTCCCTACCAAAAATACTAAATAAGTTTGGCCACTGGAAACAGAAACATTCCCTGCAATAGAAAACCGATCCTGTTGTTTTCCTTTTTGCATTAGTGTAAACTTGGGGGAAATGCACTGCGCCCATTGATTACAACATCATCACTTGGTTGCATAATTTATTACTCCCTGTCTCACTTGCCTTGTATCTCTATTGGAATATGGTGTGTACCTATTACAAGCATCTCCTTCAATTTCTCTAGATGCTTTATCAGATATTAAACATATTGTTTTCATACACAACAATCATCATAATAAAGAAGGTAATAAGAGGGATGTTTTCATACCAGACATAAAAATTACACAGAAGGTCCATCAGAAAGAAAAAATACAAACAAAAGTCTAGTCTCATCTCTTCGGCTTACTGTCAATTTCCTTGTGAGGTTCCCTCCTCACTCTTCGGACCTTCTGAGGTTCCCTCCTCACTCCGCTTCCGCCTAAGGTCATGACCTTGTGAGATTGCGCTCGTCTCTAAGAGGCTTTTCAAAAAGCATTTGAAGCTTACAAAGTGTAGCTGACTTGATGGGAGATCAGGAGGCACTGCTATCATAACATTGCAGTTCAGATTTACCACATCATCAAGTACGTCTAAGAATAATGATTCCTTTTCAATGTTCTTTGAGATGACAAACAACTCTAATCTCCAAGGATGTTCCACTGTCCACAAAAGAATCTCCGGTATCATACAATTAACTCTCTCATTTTTATCCTCTGCAAAGTATATATATATCAACATAAGATTATCTCATAGGCTTTGACTATTAGACATATATACAACTTAAAAAACAAAAAAAGTGGAGTTTGTATCTCTAGGAGATTTTACTTGGCACAGCAATGAAGGTAATTCCCGCTTCCTCATAGGCTTTGACTAAGGGATCTGTGACATTTTCCTCATCAACAAAAGCCCGGATTGACAAGTCACCTTCAATCTGAAGATGTTTCAGAGCCTGATAAATGTAAAAAGGACTTTGACCATCGGGGAACGGGAAATCCACCACATCCCAGAAGACGCATGGATTAGGCCCTGCAAGGAACCAGGAAACGCATAAAAAATCAGATATTCGGAAAAAAACTAAGATAGATCGTGTATCATTCATTCTCCAAGAAAAAGAGATCTTACCTCCGTAGAACATGGTTTCGGGCGAAGAATACAGAAGAAACTAGATAAGAACAACTAGGGATTCTGTGGCTTGCAAGGGTGGGTTTTATTTAAATGCCTTTGAATGATGGTCGGTTTAACTTAGTTGGGCTTTTAAATTTAATTGGGCCTTTAAATGAAATCCAACAAATATTGAATTTTTGGGGTGGATGCTAGTGTGTTATTAACGAAAGAGATGTCGCGTCCAACCCGCTATGGATATTTATTTTCCAACCTATACGGACTGGTCCATCACGGATTACAGGTTCTAAAGGTATGTCCAAACCCATAATACATGGACAAACGGGCTAAGAGACTGGCCCGCAGATTATTATATTCTTGGTACAACGTATAAAATAAAGTGTAACATTGTGACAAAATACATGAATAAAACAAAATCAATGTGTATTAGGACCAAGCTCTCGTCTAAGGCTTTGTTGTGTCAAACACGAAGACATTACCCAAGACTAAAAAAGGGTTTTTACTACTTTATATATCTAGTATATCTACTTATCTATTATACAAAGCTAATGTGAATCAGAAGAAAACTCTTGTCTAAGATCTTTTTATTCAATCCAAATCAAATTAGAAACATCATTAGCACATCAAAATATCTAACTTTAAAAATCCAAACTGAATCATAGTTTTTAACTCAAACATCTCAATCTTTCCATAAAAACAAAACCAAGCATGATTTTCAACGGTTTGTCGACATAGTGCCATATCAATTTGTATTGTATATTTTTTTGGCTTAGTATATACGTAAATCAGAAGAACACATCTATATTTATAATTGTGAGCTCGAAAATCCTATGTGTCATCTCTACATTGATTTAAAAAAAATTTTTGCCGAAAATACTTTTAATAAAATCGATATATTTACACTCCTTACATACATAGTGTAAATTGATTAGGGTTAAAATACCCTATTCAATCCGACAAAAATTTGAGGGTTAAGCCAATTATTTACATGCCCCAGGCCATGAGCCAAAGTCGGTTACAAAAAGAAACCCTAGCGACTAATCCTAAATCTAATATAATATTTTAAGGTTTTCTTTAAGTGAAACTTTGAGAGACTGCCATGTGTCACTTTTGATGTTAAATTTTTTTCATTTTTAGTACCTTATTTTTACTTAAGTTTGACATTTATCCCTCTACATTTTAGAATTTTTGCATTGATTCTTTAAAATAAAAATGTGATACAATATATTAACTCAAAGTAAACATTTAAATAACATCAATTATCTTCATAAATTAATTAAAAATATGTAAAACCATATTCTAATAGATAATTTTTTTTCAATATCTCTTTTCAAATTCTTTAAATTTTTCTTAATTAAAATTTTCGAAAAACTATCATATTTAAAAAATATATA